TCGGGCTGCGCGAAGGCCGGCGCGTTGTCGTTCACGTCGGCCACCTCCACGGACACGCTGGCTGTGGCCCACAGCGAAGGCGAGCCCCCGTCCCGGGCGGTCACCACCAACTCATAAGCCGACACACTCTCACGGTCCAAGGCACTGTCCAGCACCAGCGAATAGTAATTCTTGAAAGTGGACACCAGTTTGAAGGGGACATGAGACGTCAGTGTGCAGGTGACCTGTCCGTTGGCACCTGAGTCCCGGTCGGACACGCTGATCAGTGCAATAACTGTACCCACTGGAGCATCCTCTCTGATTGGAAGTGACAGGGACTTGAATTCCAAATCTGGGACATTATCGTTGTTGTCTTCTACTTCCACAATAACTCTACAATGGCCAGAGAGTGGGAGCTGTCCCTTATCAATGCCTTCTACAATAATTTCATAGGATTTGCTTTCTTCAAAATCAATATATCCCTTTACCATAATTTGTCCAGTAACTGGATCTATGTGGAACTTGGATTTCACATTCGGTGAAGTATCACTTGAGAATGAATAAATAATGTCCCCATTCAATCCTTCGTCTAAATCTGAGGCATTGAGTTTAATTACCAATGTTCCATTAGTAACATTTTCTGGTAATTTCACTTTATAGAGTGTCCTGTCGAAAACTGGGGCATTGTCATTGGCATCCAGTACCGTGATGAGTAACTGAACAGTGCCAGTTAGTTCGGGTTTGCCCCCATCAGTGACGGTGAGCACTAAAAAAATCTCTGGAGTTTCTTCTCTGTCTAAAGATTTTCGTAATATAAGCCCAAGACCTTTTACCCTCTCATCATCGGATGGTTTTTCCAGCGAAAAGTATTCATTGGGGCTCAGTCTGTAAGTGAGCAGGGCGTTCTCCCCGATATCTGCATCCGAGGCGCCCTCTAGTGGAAACCGAGAGTCAAGTGGCCTTGATTCCGCGATGAACAGATTCTTTTGTGTCGCGGGGAACACCGGCGGGTTGTCATTAATGAGAAAAACAAGCAGATTTCAATAGCTATTGGATA